ACCCACTCGCACCAGACTATGCTGCACGTAACTTAGTATCAGCGGCGAACCATTTTTTCTAAAAATTTTCTACCAACATTGTCTGTTTTGCAGTAAATTTCCTGAACACCATTACTGCGTAGTAACGTATAATAACGTTCTTTCCAGGTCAAACACAAGAATTTAAGTATTCAATGCATTAATGGAGACAAACATTTGAAATCATGTAATGGCCGGAAGAGCATCCCCAGTGCCATTTTGTTGGCAGTATCTTGTCTGTACATTTGCATCATTCTCGATTTTTCTGAACAATTATTCCTGCTACACCTTGCATGCATATTTTTTTCTCAACAAATCTTCCAACCACACCCAACGATTTCAATGGCCAACCCAGTTATTTGTTACAAGATATGAAGCTGTTCCACCTGGAACTCCAATTTACTGGTCGTTTTTGAAATTTTTCTCGGTTTATTTAACTGGTCCAATCACATTCCTATGGTCAATCTTGGTTTGCATGTAATCTATACTAAGTATCTATGTAATAGATCAATTTTCAGACACTTGGTGGCGCTATACACACTATGCCAATTCGACTAGGCAAAAGTTGCTTATCCTAGAACTGACAATGGTTCTAAACAGATCGTGTTAGTTAAACCTTGGGAGAACCCAGTAATATGCTGAAACAGATCCAAATTATCCAAACAATAGTATTTAATTGTGCCCAAGAGATATTACCTTCAATAGGATTTTTTCTCCCACAATGCATTGCCATACACACCAATCACGCCACATTTGAGGAACCCATACATACTGCCTGCATACTAAATTAAAACAGTTGACAGTAGATACCCAAGAATATAAACAATGCTACACTTTCTTTTCAAGCAATTTTTTAATGGTAGTTTTTGCACCGATGGACCTAAAAAATACGATTCAAATAAAAGAAAACATACAGAAACGGTGAGCCACATGGTGGTGGTGTCACTACATTGAGGCAACAAGAGAAAGAAAATTAAAAAGCTTAGAGGGGGTTGTTGAAGGTGATTGGAAGCGAACAGAAAGTCGGGGATGTACTATGCAATACAAAATAAATGAAAAATGGCCAGTGATAACAAAAACGATAAAGGACAACCAATGGAACTTTGTAACAAGATAAAACTGGGGGTCCATAAAAGAAAAAGAAATATCATTTTATTTACAGGATGAAAAAAGAATGGACTTGAAACTTTTATATTCAAGACCACAATACAATTGAAGATAACTTCATCCAATATCACTCCATTAAAGGAGATAGCGTAAAAAAAAGACAACCAACCAGCCAGACAGGCAGTGGAGTAGGATTGGCACCCACTATGCTGGCACTCACATACAAGTACGGTACAATAGTAAAAAAAAAAATGCTATTAGCAATTTAAATTAATTATTTATATTTATCACTTAAATGTCCAATTGTAGAATCAGTGCAAATCTAACTGTTGTTGCTGAAACCAGACCACATTAAACATGTATATACAGTCAGAAGACAGCATGGGGGAGTTCTTGGCAGGAGATTGGTTCCTACTGAAACATGACAATGGGGGGGAAAAGTTCTGTAGACATATTTCTCTCCTTTTGTTTAATCTCAGATAGTCTCATAATTATTATTAAAAGATACACTACAGTATGCATATGGTCTATTAAGGGATATTAAATAGATGTCGTCTTCTGTTGAACAAAATGAGTTTCACAAGACTTAACAGAAGTATAAATTACGATTCCATTTATATGCAGTTAAAAGTAACTGCAGTATTGTTTTTTTTCTACTTTAATACTACCAACCTGAGCACTCTGAATTTAAAAACTGCAATTTAGGGCAATGTTCTATGTGAATAGCACTAGCAACATGTGGGAGGCGTAACGCGAATAAGTTTCTTTTCTCTCTCATCGTCTACATGGTCAAGTGAGAGAAATCAAAGTTTTTTGACTGGATCACTGTTGCTGTATAAATGGTAAAAGCAAGGTCCTGGCAAAAAAAAGCAAGCATTTGGTCCAACATGTTGAATTGTAGGCATCTGTGGTATCACGTCTACACAGAACACTATTTTGTTGTCCTTATTTTTGTAACTGACTGCCACAAGACATGCACATACACTGATTACTGCAATAAGCACTTATGTCATCATATTCACATTGACTGACTGACTGACAATGAATGTCGTTTATAAATAACAGATGGTGAAGACCATGTTCCCAAACCGTGTACAACAAGCATGGTATGAAATGCACTGAATGAAAAAGCTGAGCATGACTCAGAAGCATGTTTATTTTTCTCAACTGTCCAAGGCCGGTATAATTTAAGTTATTGCAAACTGACACATTCTCCAGTTCTGTTGTTCTTTTGTTAATCAAGGAAGTCGTTTATTCTTCGGCACACGTCAAACCCAAGTTACAAGTCTTGCTGTAAACTTCTAGTGACACCTCGTTGGGTCTGCGTGTATAACGTCTCCAGTCATAACTTCAGTTCGTTGGCTATTTTTGAAGCAATGTTTTTGAAGCCAATTGATGTTCCAGATATCCGTTTGAAACGTACGCCATTTAAAGACAACCTGGGCAGCTTGCAAACCTCCATCTCCCATTCGACAAGATTTTCTCCATGACCATCGCCATGGACACAGAATAACAAGTACTTTTCTCGTAGTTCGTAGTCAACGTTGTTTGCATCTAAGACTCTACGAATTTCCTTCATCATGTCGTTGGGGTCCATTGAACTAGTGGTTTTCATGCTCCATGTGAAGCGTAAAGAACGTGGTTTCACCTGTTCGTCAGCACCGCCTCCCATACTTGACCTGCAAGTTGCAGAAACACAACAGACAAAACCCAGAGTGAGCACAGAAACAAAGCATGCACAAGTCACAGGATTATGGCGATGACACATGATGAGCCACTTGGTAAAGATCCGAAACTAAGTCATTCCACAAATAAAATCTTCCCATGCATGCACACTTATTGAAGAACTTGCAAGAAACTGTGCTCAACGACAAGGTCCCATGGTTTTTTTTTCCTTTTTTTTGAAGTTAGCAATATTTAACAAGAGGAACCAATTTAGTGCTGTTAGGAGGAAACCATTATGTTTGACTGATTGATGGCTGTGTGCTGATGTACCAAGGGTGTAATGCAGACATGGAAAAGATGGATGAATCATGCAACATGCATGAATGAGGACAGACTGACAAGAAGACACATTTTGTTAACAGTTTGCAAAATGTATTTAGTTCTATGTCTGGTTCAAGCTTTAACCGGCATTCACAAGTTAGAGTTTCAATTTGCCAAATGTTCTGTGACACTAACACCTTGTTACACAGCAGCACACAGTCCCTCCTTTAACACCACCAATAAAGATTGATCAATTTACCAAAAGTAAAAAGAATTCACAAAAAGGTGAAGCACAGTTGATTGTGGGGTTCTTCCATTTTATTTACCAAAATTTGCAAATAACACAGCCTGTTGCAAGCTTGAATCAGGCATAACTTTCTCTTTGTGCCTCTACTTTTTTTTTCAAATAAAATTGCACGGATATAATGACATGACATGTGGCTCACAATGTGGTATCAATTACAAATAATGATCTACAATTCATACAAGACTATTGCACAGTTTTCTATCTATATTCCTAACTACTACTATCTAATACATCAATTGCACTGTGGAAGTTGACAACACCTAGCAACAACTGGCAGAGCAAAATCACCTTTTACTAAATTTGGAAGAAAGCTTGCTGAAGAATGACAATGAGTTGCGGGTTCTTTCCACTGATGAGGTATCACGTGCCATGCTGGGCGATGCTGGTGGACCATTAAACCTGGCATGGTGTCTTTCCCTGGTCTGACCACTGTGAAATGTACTTCGATTCGCAGTCCCCCTGGGAAACCTGGCATGGCCGCCAGTCACTGTTGGTGATGGGAGAAAATGTCTATTGCCGGGTGCCGTGCTGTGTAGAGAATAAAACAAAACCTGTGGTGGTCAATACTTAAGAATCAGAATTTCATTATGTAATCGTACAATAAATCAAGCATTCAGTGTTATAAATGCAAAGGTAGAAAAGAAACATGCCTTGGTCTTGTATCATAACTATCATCTATCGGTGGTAAAGCCATACCCCTTGGATGGCCAGGATGGCCTGATGTTGATGCTGATTTCTGATGCCTTGGTCGTATTGAGCTTGATGTTGGTACTGATGGTGTAACTTCAATACTGTAACAGAGACAAATTATTTATTTACAGTTCACTAGCAAACTACAACTGATAAATGATTTGGATGTCACCAAAAAACAATCAAAGAAATTTAGAAAGAAATCTTGTGTGCTGAGGGAATTGAATACATGAAATATAGTTCTGCTGTGTGATAATCATATTTGTCAAAGCAATTTGAAACACAATATTGACCAGGCCACATATCTCCTAAAGTGTTATTGCAGTTCTTGAGATAACACTAAAATAGCCAATATGCACAGATTTGAACCATATTCTAACCAGCTCTGTGCATTACAAATTTATAAACAAAATATAAATATGTTGAACAATTCTTGAAAAATTAGTGGAACAGCTACCCCAGACCATTCGTCCCGGTGTTATCGCTATCGCCACACGAGACTCCAGCTTGTCTCCTATACAATTTTCCTTCCGCCCACTTAATTTTAATATTCATATGACCTTTGCACTGACATCGATAGCCAATCGCATTCGACCGCGGACGTCACTCTAAATAAACAACTGAATAAATTAATATACCATATTTGGAAGATAGCGGGTAAATTCAACGTTGTTGGTGTGTTCCTTCGGGTTCCGAAGTCGCACGAAACGAGTTCATGTTCCGTTATCTTTCGCAAGTAAAACAGGTCGATATGTATTAATCATGGCATTTGTTTTCTTGTTTTAACCCCCTTATTACGCAAGCTTCCGTCGAAGTGGTGTTTTTTTCGACGATTTGTGGCATGTTGCAAAACGAACAAAACATTGCGGCATTCTTAGCGGT